AAAGGTGAAGCTCTGCGTTTTTCACAATAAGCGTAGGGCCGCAGAGACGCCGCTGGAAAGGATTCACCCGGCTCTTCCCATCGTGGGGATGAGTCGCGACTAGACGCTCAGACAGCAAAGATCTCTGCCGTAGACGGGGAGATTCGGGAGCAGCTTGATGCCTCGGAGAAACGGGTAAGGAGCTGCTGCGAAAGTGAGCTCCTTGGCTTCCCATTGGCAGTGCGGAAGTTCCGGCTCGAAACCCTTTGGCAGTGCCATAGATGCTGGCTGGCTTCCTCATGTTCGCGTCAGGTGTGAAGATTTCTTGTTTTTGAGCTCTGGTGTGTGCGAATCGATCTTTTAAGGTGCGTCTTTGCAGGGCCAAAGTGCTCAAAGAGATTTTGTGCGGCTCTTCAAGCTTCTTGCCGGCATGTTACATGACATTGCCACAGAGTTTTCTAATCTGTACCCTGCAAATGATTCCAAAGCGTTCATATATTCCAAGCCCCGAATGCTGAACGTTGCGATCGCGTCATTTCCTGGCTTTGTGTGGGTGTTTCTTTAAATAGGAGTTTCTTAACGATGCTGGGCCGTGAAAGGAGAAGTAAAGAGATTTATCGGGGTTGTGTGAGAAGCTTCTGGGCTCGAGTGAAAGACGACCACATTGCCTGAGTGTAACGGTGTTTTGGTTCATCGTGTTGTAAGCTTCCATAGGTTCTCTTGCTGAATTAGAGGCATCGTGGCATTGGACTTGTGGACCCTCCTCGTTGCCTGTGAGCTGTGCCTGGGGCTTTCTGCTCAAAAAGGGACTCTCAAGGAGCGACCCCTTCGGCCAAAGCTTCTCGCCTTGGCGCATCGACAGCGTTCCACTGACACGCACACTTCACGTCCGTGTTCAAGTCATCCAAAGTTTAGCAATGCAATGCCGTGCATCTGCGGGCAGTCCCGATCGCCGACGCCGCTGGAGCTTTATGCGAAAGCATTACCGGACGATGCTGACGTCACCGAGCAGCATACTATCTGTCAGTGCATGTGGCCAGATACATGTAGTACGTCAACAATCTGAATCTTTGGAAGGTACATTCAACGCCCTCTAAGGTTGATCCTCCTCGGCTTTCTTGTGCGTTTGAGTTCTTAGTTGTTGGAAAGGTAAGCCAGGTAAGCTTCAGTATATGCTCCTTTAAAGGGGGGAGAGCAAGAGCAACAGAAGTTTGAGTTTCGCACCGATTTGAGGGCCCTAAACGGGCCCTAAACCGCGAACGTGTACCCTGAGCTTCCTAACCCCTAAATGCCTAAATGGCCCCAAATCGTAAACCCTAAACCCTTGCAACCCTGAACCCCAGACCCTCCACAGCAGAGGCCGGTGCATTTTCGTTCCCGATGTACACGGTGCCAGCAGATGTGCTGTTGAAGATGAACAAGATCGAGCATCATGAGCTCTTGAAGGCTGGCGAGTGTTAGCAATGTCTAGAGTTTGCGTTCGGGGTTTAGCTGATATGTTGAGGAGAGGTCCCCGGCAACAAGCGTCCTGAAATTGCAGATTTTCCTGCGCTTTCTCATCCCGGGATGGAACCACCATGATGTCGCAGAGCCGTGAATAGAAGCGTTTACTCTTGTCGCTGGATGGTGTTCCTAGGTCCATGTGAAACCATCCTCGTGTTAACCCCCGTGTTAACAGTGTGTTGGCTGTCCCTCCCTCACACAGTGGTCCCGTTTGCATGAGCATGGCAGAGAGACAGAGAGAGAGAGAGCTGGAAACCGCTATGAGCGGTTACCGTTATGATGTCAATTCACTGTTGGGCAGCAGAGGTGACGTTTCGCCACTGAGCCCACAGGTGAGCCTCTAGACTCCAAACCTTGTAAACCTCCTAGGTCTCCCGAGTCCCCGAAGTCGGCCCCCACTTAAGGCCCCGCTTGCTGAATCCAGAACCCGCATGGTCCTGGCTCCATGGAGCAGAAGAGTCTTCGTAGATATTCGAACTCGAACCAGTGAGGCTTCTGGACAATGGTCGGGATTGGAATGCTCAAAGGCTGAACCTTCCGAAGGAGATTCCACCTGTTCATAAAAAAAAGACAGGTGGAGAACCCAAACCCCTTGAAGCCCTGAACAGCCCTGAACACCCCAAGCCCTCAACCCTCTGAAGGCTCAGGGCGACCTGATCATCTTCGATGATGATGCGGGCATGGCGGCGTTTGTCTCCCACCAATGGCTGGCTAAGCACCACCCGGACCCCGACCTCAGGCAGAGCCGCTATGATCCCAAATCCGAAGCTAAAAACATTCAGAAGCCCTATGCCGCGTATGCCCAATACACCAGAAGCCCTACATCCTAACAGGTCCTAACGTTCTTAAGTGCCTGAGAGCCTTCTTCTCAGAGGCAGATGCGCATCCTTCAGCGGGCCCTGAAGCTGCTTTTAACTTCCGAGAGGGGTTCCGTGCCGCTGGACATCATGACAGAAGGGTCGGTGCCCAACGCCAAGCCACTTCCTATGAAGGACTTTCCGCGGTTTAGGCTTTGAAAGGGTTTCGGATCTTGTTTGGGTTTGGGATTGGGGTTTGGGGTTTTTGGGGCTAGGTACGCTTTAGAAGCACTTCAGGGTCCTATGAAGGACTTTCAGGCCAAGCCGTTATTCCTCTGGTACGACTATTTCTCCGTGCCACAACTAGAAGACCGGAAGTTCTACGCCGCCGCGGATGAGAGGGACGGCTCCCAGCAGGCAAAGGCCATCCACAGCATCCCCGCCTACGTCTCCAAGTGCCGCTTTTTTCTGGCTCTTTGTCCCGTGGTCGACTGCCCTTGGGAAGCCAAGGCGGGTTCCCTGGAGCTGTTTGAGGCTTCAGGCTTCACTACGTTCACTACTTCATGTTTCCTGGGTGAAATTGGGTGACCTTGCGGGTGCGTCAGGTGCTTTCAGCTGCCAGCTGGAGCCGGCGTGGGTGGTGTCGTGTGCCTGGAGACAAATTTCTGCAATGCTGTGTAAGGTCTAGTGCTGTCTCCTGTTGTTCCGTGGGATTAGGACCAGTCAGAGCTGCAGCGTTCACTCAGGTTCCCTCACCTCAACTAGGCGCCGCTGCTTGACAGCCCCCCCCCCAGCCCACAAAAAACAACAAAACGTCCACATTCACCTGCTAGGTCCATTTCGTTCATGCACTTTCTTCACGTGGGGTAGAAGCCGTAGTGGTTGACCTAGGTGGAGCGGGCCGCACGTGAGCTGTCTCGAGACAGCTCCTGGATTTTGATCCAGAGTGAGACGTCCATGGAACTGGTTGGCACGGCGATTTCCTTCGGCAGCGGATGCGTTGGTGAAGGAGAGTTTTCTGTCCCGGAAGACCGTCAAAAGTTGGCCCCGGTGATGCGAAGCATAGTGCAGCAAAAGCTGAGACACTGCTTGCACTCGGGCGACTTGGCAGCCTTCCGGCGCCACTTCAACCTCCAGAGCGTGCATCTTCGGGGCCTGGAGATCGAGCCCATCGTCTTGTTGCCCGACAGGGACCCCTCGGACGCCACGGCGGATTTCTTGCTGCAGAATGGCCTCCGGAGACCTGGCGAAGCCGACAGGGCCGGGTGGTCTCCGCTGCACTACACCGCCTTGGCGGGTGACTGCGTGGTTTGCCTTCGTTTGTTGGAGAAGAAGGCAGGCGTGAACAGGCGCACGCCGAAGGATGAGCCCGCTCTGGGCTTCCCTCCCTGGATGTCGGCACTGGATCTGGCACTCTTCTTCAAGCACCACGAGGCCGCCAAGCTGCTGCTGACAGCCAGGGCCCACGTTCAAGGTGGATTCTTGTCTGCCATGAATTGGGCAGCCCAGTCGGACAGCGCTGAGGGCGTGCGAATGGTGTGTGCAGCAGGTGGTAGTCCCCTTGCCCCGAACCTGATTGGCACCACGCCTGTAGCTATTGCAGCTGGATACGGGGCACAGGAGGCACTGAACGAGCTGGTGGCGCAGGGCTGCCCAGATGGGCTGCAGCTGTCCCGAGCGCTCCACGCCGCCGCAGGTCTTCGGGGTGGTTCTGCTGAGCTGGTCCAGCACCTGGTTGGCCTGCGGGCTGATCTCGACTTTCAGTGGAATCTTCAGCGTGACTTAAGCCGAGTGGGCCGCCTGATCTTCACGGCGAAGTCCTTGCAGCACAAGTTCGGCAAGCCTTCCCTCTTCACAGCTTTTGCATACCATATGCACGGCAGTACGCCGCTGATGCAGGCCTTCCGCACCGGCCAACACGAGGCCGCTGCTGCCCTCATTGCCGCCGGCGCCAACTTGGAGATCAGAAACTCCCGCAACTGGACAGCAGGCGACTTTGTCAAGGAAGGGTCCATCCCAAGCTATCTGCAGAAAGGCCTTGCTGGAGACCCCGCTGAGTGCCAGACGGTCTCCTCTTTGGCTCTTGCGGATGACTGCGTCGTCTCGATGTCACTTTAGCTTAATTGCAGTGGTGGCTTTTCACAGCTTCGTGTTTGTACAGGAAGGAACATAATAAATTTTGCAAACTTGCATGTTGCAAACTGTGTCAGGTTTGTTTGTCAAGCCTCTCGGGAAGCAGTTGCTTTACAACCTGACGCAAACCTTTACTAGGTGTATCGTTTGCAAGGTGTCCCGAGCATCACCTGTGAACGTGTGATTTATTTCCCGGTGTCACTGGGATCCCAAGATGCGTGCGAAAGGAACCGATCGCATGAAGCATTGACTGACTTTCAGAGAGAGGGTAATGCAAAAGTTGGTTGACATTGCAGAGCGAATAATTATGCTGACGTCATGTGGAGCTATTGAAATCCCTGCCCCTCAAAGCATCTTTGGTGAAATATAAGGAGCACACCGCGTACGTAGAATGTTAGCAAGCTAGAAGTGTTTTATGTTTATGCATGCTACGCGGGCATCCCGAATGTGAGTTTGCGGGGGTTTTAGGCGATGCTTCTTTCCGTATCAGGAGCACTGACGTCTCGTTTGTCGCAGCTCAGCTGATTCCCTGTTCCGTCGAGAAGTTGCGGATGCATTCTGCGTCTCTCCATTTTCTGACCTCCCGAGGCACAGCCGCGGCAGTCTCCACACGAAGCATGGCGAACTGCCACTCCACCCGGCATTGTCACCGGCTATGGCCCCACATCCGACGGGCCACCGTCCCAACCATCGGAAAGAGCTCTGCGAAGGGCCCCATCACCGTTGCAGCCCCAGCCATACACAGCTCTCTGTATGGAAAGGCAACGACCGCGCATTGCACCGACTACAATTTCGTAAATGCTTTTCCCGACTACGGATTGCGAACCATCTTGGCCGCAAGTGGTCCGCCCCGGATGCGCTGTGAAACCCCACACAAAGCGCGGTGAGCGGCGAGATGTGGCCTTTCATATGTCGATCATGATGCGATCCCCAATGTGAATGAACATAAGCGTAATTGAATCGCCTTCGTTTGGGGATTGTGGCTTTCTTTGCGATCGGTGGTGCATGGCGGCCTGTGAATTACAACCAGCAGGCTGGATCGTGGAGTCAGGAAAGATGGACAATGGTGCAATGAGTGCAACAGCGCCTGCTCAAGCGGCGACAGCACAGGGCAGCAGCACAACAGGCGGTTTGGCACAGGTGTGGCTGGGTCAGTGGTCTTCGGCTTCAGTGCAGGCGCTCCCGCAAAATCAGGACACGTGGTGAATGAAAACATCGGCCGTGCATTGAGCTATGAATCGAGCGTGTAGGCCGTCCAAGATGACTGCCGATCTGTTATTGCAAGCAACCATTTTGTGGGCCCAGGCAGGCCCATGCAGCCATGTTGGAAATATTTGGAAACGATGAATCCGGAGACCGTGAACACATTTTTCGGTCTTACTTTCGGGGTCAATGGTGGATATGGCAGCGTTGAACCGTTGCAGCCAAGTTCGCATGCGCTAATATGCAAGTTTGCATTCGCACATTCCGCCAACCTAATTATGCGAACTCTGAATATGCGTCATGACCATCATCAATCTCTACCCAGTTGTGACTAAACTCTCAGACACTGGCACGGAGCCGCATGAGTGCTCCAGCCGACCCTTTGCGCAACCGTGAGTGGGCGTGGCAGCTAGGTTTATGAGCTCAAAAAATAATTCAATTGTAATAACATTCGCACAACCCCTCAGGTGGCCCTTCTTGGTTTGGTCGAGATTCGGGTTGCCTTGTAGATACGCTATTCACAGCATGTTCACGAAACCGAAAACAATCGCAAACCCCAAGCCGTATGCTTTGGAATCTTTTCAAGTTGAAACGTTCTTGGCGTTCACCCCAACCGGTGGAGACCGACAACCCGTGCTGTATGGCCACAACTCCCTGCCATTCAAGCCTTGCACTTAAAATTTAACGTTGAGTCTCTCTCCGCCATGGTCAGTGGGGCCAAGCGGGGCAACGATGTCAGCGAAGGCGCCAACATTTGCTAGCATGGCTTTTGGCAAAGGTTTTTCCACGGCTCGACCCATCGACCCATCGGCCGTGCCGTGTTTGTACGAGTTGCGGACGTTGCTTAGACACTCAACCCTGAATCCCAAAACCATCTCAAGAAGCAGAACCCGAAACGCTTTAACTTCGTGGCTTCGAAGCACAAAGCTGTAATTAGCGCAATTCGTAACACGGGAAGACCTTAAACCCGAAACGTACTAACGTACAGCATGAAGACAGCGTGGACCAAAAAAGGCGTCGGTGCCGCCTCGAAGATCCTGATGTGCAAGCACGGGAATTGGCGTGTTCGGTTTCAACAATTTGGATTCTTGGTGTTTCCACATTTCCGTAAGTTTTGTGTGGCAGGCTTCGCTGCGGGAAGAAGGCCAACGTGTTGCTTTGCCACCTCATGACATGATGCTGGCCATGTCGGATTGCCCTTCAGTAACGACACTTGTGGGCCAGTCTGATGCCCATGCTGTCTGCTAACATGGAAATGTGGCCCCAAGACGGCTGCCCGTGAACGATCTGTCCTGTGCGCTCGCTTTAAAACAGGCAGCATGGTCGCTGCGGGTCTTGTTGCAACTGACTGGATGTGTTGACGCCACAACATGTTACATGCTGGTTTGTGTCGCAGCAAATGTCGGCCAAGATCACAGTCGATGGAAACAGCTTGGGCATCATGGCCATGAGTCTGGAAGAGAAGCGAGCCCGCTTCGCCGCGATGACCTTGGAAGTGAAAAAGGGCTCGCGTCGCCTTCCTCAAGCAACAGCGCCGTCAGCGGCAGGACTGCGTCAAGCATCTTGTTGCTGCAGTCGCCATCGATGCTTGATGTGTAGTTTGCACTCTGTGCTCGCAGAACCATCGCCAGAAGGCTGGGTCAAGCACAATCCGCATCCCAACAACCATGCTGGACGCATGTTTTGGCAGGCCGAAGTATTCCAGCGCGTGCTTTGTTCTTGGGCCATTGTCTCAGGGCAGACATGCCGCTGGCACCGGCTTTTCCAGGAAACCTTTGGCATTTTCATGTTTTCTGACAAGGTCAACTCTCGCATATCATCGCATATCTAGGGCAGCCTGCCTCAACCTGAATCAGAAT